TCCAGCATTGCAGTGGGGGGACGTTGGACAACAAAACTTGGGAGTTGCTGCCATGCCGCCCAAAAAGGTGTTAATTGCAATTTCAGAAACATTGCTGAAATTGCAATTAACACCTTTTTGTATCTACTTCACCGTGCAGCCCAGTTTTGGTACGTTTTTTTCCAAGAGCTTTCCTGAAAGTGCAGTGTCAGCCACTCAGGGCGTTGTGGAAGCTGAACAATAGGAAACATTTGAGGTCCCCCAGGACAAAGAGAGTGCTCATGCTTGCTTAGACTTGGACGGCAAAACAACATCAACGAGATAAAAGCAGTAATAGTCGCAGCTGTGTGTGTTTTCTAAAGAAAGCGTGGAGGAGTTAGATATTGTCAGGCCCTGCATGGCATCCTTGTCAGTTGGAGAAGCTTTTCCCCTGTTCAGGATGTTGAGAGGGCACTAGCATCGCAGGGATTGTTGTGTTATTGTTGTATATTGTTGTTAAAAAACTGGTCCCCTGATAGTGCTGGTAATTTGTCTAAGTGGGAATGAACATCCAACAGCTGAGGGGAAAACTTTCGTAACATGCTTGTCGTCAAACGTCACGTGTTGAGTGAAGTACAGGTGCTTAGTTAGAAAGGAAGCAGAGAAGGTTACAGGCCCCTGGGGGTCCGCGCTGACAACCTGAGCTATTACCCCAATTGAACAGCCGTGTCCCGTGCCCCGTATCTGATTTGTGGGCCATTTGTGTGTTTATCTCTGTGTGTTTCTGTCTCAAACCTGGTATTCCCATGTCACGTGTGCCCTCAGCCGGCAGATGGACTGTAGCAGCAGCGGCATGTGCAGGGAGCCGGTAAATTATGGAGAAAGAGCAGGTAGAGGTCTCTGGTTTCTAATCACAGCCCCGGTTTACTTTACTGCAACCCTGTGGGGAAAGACAGAGAGAGGTACGTCTGATCATAAATCTCCTGTGACTCTCCGCCTCCACTCTATCTTACCTTCTTTATTTTTCTGTTTATTTTTTTCCCCCTGCTCCTTCTCAGCTACACTATCTCATTAGCGGCGACCATGACCTATCCTGAGGAGAGTGTTGGCCAGACTGCTGTACCAGCTGTATCCGGTGGCTGAAGCCCGCTCGCTCTGTTTTGTTCTTTATTATTATTTTTGTTTCATGTGGGACGAAGATATGGGCACTGACAGGAGGGTGATGTTACAAACGCCAAGGTCAAAGGTTACAGTTGTATAATTCACCGTCCACATCTTTTGTGATTGCAGGAACACTGGAATATCTTACAAGATAACAAATAGTCTCGAGCCTTATCATTTTCCTCGCCTCAGTTTTTCCCTTTCTCTTTATCATCCTGTCCCCCCCCCCCCTTTCCTCATGCAGCTATCACTCCAAACGCCCTTTCTCCTCAGTTTACCTCACCTTTTTTATCTCTCTATTTATTTCGAATCTTTGTCTCCCACTCATCTGTTCCTCCCTCCCATAACTTTTTCTCTCGCCTTCATCTCTCATCTTTCCTCCTCCTGTACACCATTCCCTCGCATTGCCTCTTTGTCTCTTTCATCCTTTCACTTTCTGCCTCATGCCCTCCCCCGTCTCTTTCCACATTCTACCATCCCCTGTGTAGGCTCTGTATACCTTACAGCTGATAATTAGCCAGGCAGCCTCGGCTTTGTTTGTGGCCCCGGGGCCAACAGGACGTCCCTGTCTACCACAGCGTGACTTACATAAGCAACCGAAACAAAGTGACAACGCTGACCTCAAATGGCCCCAAGAGGCAGGAAGACAGACTCAAGATTGAGGAAGATGGAAAAAGACAGTCTTTCCCTTTACTCATACAGCTGATGTGAGTACAGCATCCGTAGTATCAGGACCTGCACTGCTACAGCTCTGACGTACTGCAATTGTCTGTAAATGATGACCTTTAAAAGCTTGTACTCTATAATTTGATATTGCATTTTCATAGCTGAAGTAGATCAATATGATGAATAAATGCAATGCTTGATATAGATTCATTGATAGATTCATAGTATGTGATATATGTTCAGTGAGACAATGTACAAGATGAAGTAGGTGGAGATCGCATTGGTTCTGAAAAACTAGTATTTCTAAGTACAAAGGTCAGCGAGAGCAGTAAATAGAAGGATGGTCTCATTTTCCACTCTTTTAGTGGTCTTCTGTGCAACAAAAACATTCCCTTTATCAGGTTTTTAAACATTAAGGAACATGTTGCGTTTATCACATTACATTTATTATTGCATATTTATTATTCTTCCGTGCCTTTTATACTCACTTGTGACACAAAAGCAGTTTCTGCTTCATATACTGTTTATATATGTGTCAGCTAAATGAATGAATGAATGAATGAATGAATATGACGTGTGTGTAATTTGTAACAGTTGCCTTCTTTTCTAACATAAAATTAGCTTACATTTGCATATTTAATGAAAAATATACTAGACAAGCAGCAAAATGATTCATATGTCAGTCGTGCATAGTTGTTTTGTAGATGGGTGCTATGATTATTCATTTTGATGACTGATGATGTTATTATTAGTTATATAATGCATTAAAGTCTAGTGAGTTAAAGTCTTCTGAAAAGAAGAAAAATATCGACCTATATATCGGAATATCAGATTTTAAAATCCTCAAATATTAAAATAAGCATCAGTCTTAAAAATACCATATCAGTTGAGCTGTGATAGTAATACATATGTAACACAGCATTTGTTTGCTGTAGAAAAGTATTGTACACTGCTCATTGTGATGTACAGTTTAGGACTTATGTGTATAAAACCCATTGAATCTTATGGAGGCCTACTCTGTCCCATTGTATTTATACCGTAACTTGACACCTGGTAACAGTACTAACTCCATTTGTTCTTTAAAATACACTGACGAAGTGTGCATAAACTCACTATGATGACATGTACAGTTATGCACTATTATAAATTGTATAGTTCATCAAAGTCTATGAAGGCCTATTTAGTCTTATTGTATACATAACTTGTAATTAATAAGTTTACGATTTACATACTGTAATGCATCGAAGCCTAATACAGTGTTTTAAAGCATCCATTCGCTCCCATTACATCTATAACTCAGCTAATACATTAAGGTAAATGAGTTTTCATATGATTATAATGTCTTTCAAAATGTGTGCCAGTCGGCATCAGTGCACTCAGCAATCACACGCATTTCCTTCAAGAAATGCTTCTGTAGTTAAATGTGTTGACTTTGCACCGTCAGTACATCTACCATTGTCACAGTCTATGGTCCCAAAGTGTACAATAATTGCAGAAGACAGTAACATTTTATTGTTTAAAACTGCTTCAATGAGCTCTTTTACTCCTCTGCTCCCAATGCCATGATAGGAAACGGCCCGGAGAAGAGTCTTCAGCTGCAGAGGAGTGTGACCCTGTTTCCACCACAAGTGATTCCTAAATCACCGAGCCGTTTCTCTCTTCTCTTTATCTCCTTTCCCTTCTATGCCTCTCTTTATTCGCTATAAACATTATCTCCAGACACTTGTTCAATATTACACGCTTGAATAAATTTTGCCTCCGTTTCTGTATATCTCCAACTTTTACAAGCCATCTATTTTCATTGGAAGAATTTGGCTGGATAGAAAAGCCTTTTCAGCAAAACCCTGGATATAAATGCTGTCTGTCCTTTTACACCCGGCTTTACATCAACCCTATAAACTGACATTTATACAGTCAAATATCCTTCACAAGGTTCCAATTAAGCCATTTCTCTGTGGCAGTCTGGTCCGTAAATTCTTATGCATTGTACTGTAGCTGCTAAGAAGCGATCTGAATCACCGTTTGTATCTGCTGATGCGTTATTCATGTGACAGATTGGCAACAGATAAGTGCCTCACTTTAGGAGGAATCGCAGTGAATAAGTGATGCTCCTTTTCATTCCTGTTGAGTCTCTCTGTGTGATAAGAAAGACAGAGAAAGGTAAAACTTAGAGGTGGCAGCGGGGAGGGGGTTAGAGGGTCAACCTTCAAACAAGAATTTTAGATCTTGTGCAAAACATTTAACCAGCCCAATTCCAATTCCAAACTCCTACTCAAAAAGCTTTATAAATACCATATTTAGTGTCTTGAAACGGATGATTTTTAATACCAAGAGATCACTGTCATAACATGTTATTCATTATAGGATGTAAAAGGCTCTCCTTTGAAGTAAAGTAATGACATTTATTTTTAAGGCATTAGCGGTCTCTTTGGAATCAGGTTAATAGCTTCCCACAGACAGGCAGTGTACTATTATAACCCTAACCCTAATTGAATACCCACGAGTTTCTCAACAATGATGATGAGTTTTTTTATGGGTCGGATTTGACAAATTGGCAAGACATCAGAGAGGAGGTTGAGAGGGAGCGTTGTTTGTTGTTGTTTTGGTTGCTAGTGACGTAAGCGGAGGAACTTGAATGGGGCCACGGAGTGGCGGCTTCAAATACCAAATATCCAAATCTAATACAGTTGGGATTGGTTTTGGGCTCGGCACAGAGGGTTTCTGAGTCAAAAGGTCAACCCAGTGTAGTCATCAGCTTACCACAGCCTGAAGCTAATTACAAAACGCAGGGTTTGCTATGCTCTGTGAGGGGGAGTGCGTGTGTATAAGTATGTGTGCATGTGTACGTCTCTGTGTTTCTGTAATATACCCCATCAGTGTCTGTGGCTTGCTACATAATCCTCTCATTTGGTGCGTAAGTAGTGGATTATCTATGCTCATACACATACATTCACACATGCTTGAATGAATATTGGTGCGAGGAGTGTTCACGGACTATTTTGTTGTCTATTCCAAACTTTCCCCTTAAAGGCTGTTGTTTATTTAAATCCGTCAGTATAAAACTTTATGTTGAAGGAACTACACTTTTGCTGCCAGCCAGAACAGGTGCATCTTGTGGGAGACATACAATGCTGCAAAAACATTTACTGTTGAGCACACTGCTGACAGACTGCTCTCCCTTTTCCTCCTTCCCTCCTCTCATTTTCTGTTTCTAGGTAACGATTTGTTCCTGGTAGCAGTCCACGAGCTCGGCCACGCGCTGGGCCTCGAACACTCCAACGACCCCACGGCCATCATGGCTCCCTTTTACCAGTACATGGACACGGACAACTTTAAACTGCCCATGGATGACCTGCTGGGCATCCAGAAGATTTATGGTAAGGCCTCATTTAGATGTACAGAGTAGAGCCAGACTGATATGGGATTTTTATGACCGATACCGATTTTGATATTTGAGGATTTTATAGTCATTTATCAGACACCAATCCACACACGATTTTTTAATCCACTGGAAGGACCTCAATGTGTTAACTGCTTACACACTACCAAGCTGCGAAAGTTCTAACGTAAGTCACAATAACTTTCTAAGCTTGCTGGCTTCCAAAAAAGCTAATGGAGTCGCTTACAGGGCAACAAGTTAACACAATTAATGAAGACATTTATTTGTACCATTGGCTGCCCGGGAACCATGCCTCTTTGATGAGTTGAGGAGATTAATTATAAGCAGATGGTGCGACACAGCTAATAAGCTACGATCTATGACACCAATGTCAAGACACTTTGGTGTCAAGGGTGCAAAAGTTGAAACAAACAATTTGCACATTTACTTTGCCTCTAATTGTTGAGACTCTTTTGTAAATAGATTGATTTCACCCCCAAATTTGCATATTTTAAATGCTGATGTGACAGAGCCTGACGTTAGGCACCATAACCAGGTTCCTCATAACTGGAATAGTATATTTTCTGTGTTAGTCTAACTCTGTTAGAGTACAAGATCATTTTGATAACATGATAAAGCACAGATCTCAAGATTAAAACCTAAATTTCAGATCACAGGAGGCGCAAGCTTCATCAGCAGCGCACCTACACATTGCTCATTGACAAACATTTTGAGTTGACAGACGCTGATTCCAATGCTTTGTCTTCTCATAAAGCTGAGATAGCTCTGGGCGGGTTGAAGTGTGAAATTCAGTTGGACGGTAACAGATTTATGTAAGCATGAGTGTCTTTATTTTTACACTCTTAGAGTTGAATTAGTAGTGCATTAGGGTAGACATTGCTAAGCCATCGATCTAGACGTGTTTATGTACTGAGGTTGATGTGTTGTGAAGGAACCCATCATTTTACAATTTCAGAATTTGTAAGTTTCAAATGTATTTGAATGTTCGCGTTGTCGCCTCAACCTGGGTTTGACATCTGCTGTAAGTTAAGAGTCAACTTGGTGGGAAGTGGCGGCACTGTGCCTTACAGCTGTCGAGGCTGTAAAGCAGTCACACTCCGCTGAGATGACTCTGGTCTGTCACATGAATGGCTGCACACGCCAACACCAACACAAAAGAACCTGCCATCTGCTTACATGGTCCGGGCACGTCCCTCTGGGAGTGACAGACCTGGGCAAGCGATCAAATCGCTCCTCATCCCTCTCGTTTTTAACTCCTCTCCGCTGCTGCCCCTCCCTCCTCCTCTGTGTTGTACGAGGAGTTGAAGGGCAGGACAAGTGATGGCAGCTCCTCTCTCAGTCTCGTTGTTTTGTTGGTTTTTTTCCCCAGCTGCAGTTGGCCTCCTTTCCTTCCATATGGCAACAGTGATGCTACATGTGGAGGCTAAACAGGGAGCTGCACAGTTTGGATGAATTAGAAGGTGGTGGGATTTAAGGTTGAACAGGAGGAAAAAAGTAGAGAAATAAAAAAGGAGGTGTAGAAGAAACTGAAGAGTACAAGAGTTACACAGAGAAGTGGTGTAGGACTGTAAAAGGGAAGGATGTTAAATTTAAGACTTTGATTTGCAGTCAGGGGAGCAGGATCACACAGTGAATTGTGGGAAGAAAGGTCTGACAAGGGTAGAATGAGATTGATCTTGAGGGTCGATAATAGTTTTTGGACTTCTAGCTGTACCTGTTTCTCAGCTTAGTGCTAAGGTCATAGTACAGTTGTATTTCTTCCTCAGATCATTTATATTCCCTTTTACAAACACATAATCATTTCTCATGAATAATTAACAGCTTAAACTAATGAAAGTTTAATCAGCCTGCAAGTAATTATAGATAATAAAGACAGATCTTATACAAACATGTAAAAGTGGAATTACTGTCATGTAGTCCATTTTTTTCCCTTCTTCTTTTAAATCCCCATGGACAAATCACTTTTTTTCTCTCTCTGAGCTTTGAACATAATGACTTCCCACTCCTTTGAAGAGAATTGCCCACTTCCTGTTTACACATGCAGCGGACTGAAGAAAGCGCTCACATTACTTACTGTACATGATAATGCAGCCAGCTAAAGGAGAAAAAAAAGAACAGCACTGCAAATCTGCAATCATAGTCATAATTACACTGAACTGCAGACTTCAAACATAGACAAATACTTAACAGAAAGCCTGCGTGTCAAACTGGGGACTGGAGTTTGATTGACTGATTTAGCAGGTGGGGAGGGTCTAACATATGTATCGAGTTGTATCATGGGAATTGTAGGATCCATTGTTTTTGGATCTTGACCCACACTAGGGATTCACATTCAGGATATTTCAGTCTCTTCTCTATCAAACTAAAAAAAAATTTAAATGCATCTCTTCTCATCTCTGAGTTTATGGAAAGTCAACACAAATTGCTGGATGCTGGATTACACCTTTAAGGACAGGTGTAGAAGGACAGCTAGAAAGGCTATCCAGAAATCTTTGGTCTTAGTCTAGACCAGGGTTCACCAACCTTTTTTAGACTGAAAGCTACCTAAAGGATATAGAATAATATGGGGGGCTACTTGTTTGATATAAACTATATATATATATATATACTAATATAAATCTGCTTGGTTTGCTTTTAAATATGAATGAAAATTATGCATTTAATAGGCTATTTGAGACCGTCCATCTATGTTCACTGATCACTATTATTATTAACGTTTTAACAAGTGAGCTGATGAAAATACAGATATACAGAATATTTTTCTACCCGTAATGAGCTACCTCGGGGGTAGCTAGCATTGAAAGTCTTGTGGCATGTACTGAAGTAGCTCACCATCGTAGCTGTAGTAGCTAGATGGCATGGAATGAAGGAGTGAGAAGAGGGAATAATAATAATCATAATAATAATCTTCATTTGTAGAGCACTTTTCAAAAACAAGTTACAAAGTGTAAAGACAATAATACCCAAAAGACAATAATACAAAAACAATACAAGATAAAAGCATGAAAACATTGAAAAGACTAAAATACACAGTTAAGATAAATATAAAATTAGTAAAATAGAATAAAATAAAAGGGATGAAATAAAGTCAAATAAGATCGGGAAAGGCTCTCCTATAAAAGTATGTTTTAAGAAGGGACTTAAAAGAGTTCACTGACTCAGCTGACCTGATTTCCCCGGGCAGGCTGTTCCAGAGCCTCGGGGCCCTGACAGCAAACGCTCTGTCCCCTTTAGTTTTCAGTCGAGACTCTGGAACAGACAACAGACCTCTGCCCGAGGATCTCAAGGTACGTGCTGGTGTGTATGGGACTAAAAGTTCAGAAATATAACAAGGCGAGAGGCCATGAAGAGCTTTAAAAGTGATTAATAGAATTTTAAAGTCAATTCTAAAACATACTGGGAGCCAGTGTAATGAAGCTAAAATAGGAGTAATGTGTTCATATTTCTTTGTTCTGGTTGTTCTGGTCCAGAACTCAGCCTGGCAGCTGAGTTCTGGACAGTCTGGAGTCAATCAATAGATTTTTGGGTTAAACAAGTGAAAAGGCTGTTGCAATAATCCAGGCGTGATGAGGTGATGGTGTGTAAAATGGTCTTGGTGTCCTTAAAAAGTTAAGTTGATTAAAACATGATTGAACAAGCTTTGTGGTGTGCTGCTCGAAATTTAAATTATTATCAAACCAGACACCAAGGTTCTTTGCCACAGGCTTAATGTGATTTACTAGGGAACCAGCAGATGGCAGTATTTGTTTTGCCATCTGCTGGGACCCAATGACCAGGATTTCTGTTTTGTCTGAGTTCAGCTGGAGGAAATTATTTGACATCCATTTTTTAACTTCACAAAGGCAGTTGTTAAGTGAACTCAGCATTCCAGGGTCTGTGGATCTGACGGGCAAGTACATTTGTGTGTCATCAGCAAAAATATGAAAAGAAATACCATGTTTATGGATAATATGTCCAAGGGGAAGCAGATACAAGGAAAACAAAATGGGTCCTAAGACCGACCCCTGAGGCACACCATATTTAACTGGACAGAACGAAGAGACATAGTTGTTTACAGACACGCAAAACTTCCTATTTGACAGGTAGGATGAAAACTATTCTAGGGCAGTACCAGAGATCCCCACCCAGTGCCTCAGTCTGTCTAACATGATGTTGTGATCAATGGTGTCAAAAGCAGCGCTAAGGTCCAGGAGTACCAGGACTGAGCACATGCCTTCATCAGCAGACATTAAAAGGTCATTGGTGACTTTAAGCAGGGCAGTCTCAGTGCTGTGGTACTTCCTGAAACCAGATTGAAACTTAAAAAATATTTTGTTATTTTCCAGTACAGTGAGCAGCTGTTTGGACACAATTCTTTCTAGAATCTTTGCAATAAAAGGCAGTTTTGAAATTGGTCTAAAATTATGTGGGAGGGAGGGATCTAAACCAGGTTTCTTTAAAAGTGGGTTCATGCAAGCTGTTTTAAAATAATCAGGGACACAACCAGTAGATTGGGAGCTGTTGAAAACAGAGATCAAATGGGGCCCAACAGAATCTATTACTTTCAGTAAAAACTTTGTAGGTATTACATCAAGTGGGCTGGAGGACACTCTCATTTGTGATACTGTTTGCGGGGGTAATAGAGGCTCTGATTGACACCACCTTATTGGTAAAATAAGATAAAAACAATTCACAGTCATCATTACTTCCAGCTGAGGCACAAGGAGGGGTTGGGTTTACCAGCTGATCCACAGTCTTAAACAGAAATCTGGGATTGTGTTTATGTGTAGTAATGAGTTCCGAAAAATAGTGTGTTCTCGCATCCTTAACCATGTTATTGTAGTTAATTAATAAATCCTTCAGACTGAGGTAATGGACTTGGAGATTGGATTTTTTCCATCTGCGCTCTGCTTTCCTGCATTCCCTTTTGTAGGCTGCGAATGCTGTCATTATCCAGGGTTGCTTACTAGCTTTAGACGTAGGCCTAACCTTTAGAGGAGCAGTAATATTTAGTGACGACAAGCAGATATGATTGAAGTGATCGACCAGATTGTTGGTGTTGGAATCAGACAGGTGTTGGCTTTGGCTCTGAAAGAATGCGCAAAACTTTGAAACACTTTGTTCATTAAAGATGCGAGAACACACGGAGCTTGGTGAGGCGGCATGAGTAACAGGCTAATCGCAGCTAAAAACAATACATCTGTGCTCAGATATGGTCATGTCCACTAATTCCACAGAGGAAATGCTGACACACAGGGTAAAAACCAAGTCCAGTGTATGACCACGGTTATGGGTTTACCCTTAGACATGTTGTTTGAAGTTAAAAGAAGTGGCCATATTTAAAAAGTCAGTTGCATTAACATATCAACATGAATATTAAAATCGCCACAAAGAACAATTCTGTCATAATTTAAAACCAGAGTAGATAAAAATTCAGGAAGTTCTGATAAAAATCCTCCAGGAGGTTTTGGGGGGCGATAAATTATAACAAATATGATAGCCCTCCAACTTTAAGAGTGAGAACTTCAAAGGAGTTAAATTCATCACAGCGTACTTGATGACATTTAAAATTTTTCCTATACACGCTCACTAGCCCACCACCAGGACCACTGACCCTTGGTTGACTAAAACAATCATATTGAGGCGGACATAGCTTCAGCTATAATATTTTTAGATCGAAGCTTTACCAGTTTACTTATTCTTAATTCTGTTTTTTTTTTTTCATTGGCTCCCTTAGGGCGACTAAGCGCTCGCAGGTACCGTATTGGCTACCCCTGGTCTAGACTATTGGTTTCCATCTATGTTCCATTATGGCTCAGGAGTAGGCAGATTTCCACTATAGCCAATCACCGTACCAGCTGAGTTTGTGATGAGATTTCTCGTCAGGTTTAAAGTTGCCTAAAGAGACTCATGCAATTGACATTTTTCACACGCTCTCACACCACAAATAATTTTTCACACACAGTGGAAAACAAATCACGGAGTGAATCAACTTCGGCCAGCTGATGCGAATCTGAACCCCCCTCTCACACTATGGGTCCAGACAATTGTGACGAGTGGTAACATAACTAGTCGAGTTTTCCAATATAAACATCTGAAAACTGAGGTGCAAACTTGCTCTGTTAGGGACCGTAAGCTACACTTTATCGGCGGTACTGAAGTTTGTGTGGATTTTTGGTGGGTTTCTGCCTGATTAAAGGTGTTTTCATTACTGATAGCCTTACTGTATACTGTTATAGTTTTAGATTTTGAATTGTCACTTACCACCTGAATTTTGCCTTTCCCTTTACATAAATAACAATATTTCCACTATAAATTGGTGTAGAAAAATTCACCAGAATGCAGGAAAGTGATCAAAATTTTCATATAATTCAGCATTGAAAAGTTCTAAAAAACCCTACATCGTGTCTCATCACACCACTACTGATTAGATTCCTGTTCTTTGGTTTAAAGTGTACTAATCAATGCAATGAGCTGCTGTAGTAATTGGCTGGCCCTTGATGGCACACAGGAAACCACTGGTCTAACATGTGGCACCACCTGAAGATCTCCAGATCATTTGGAAAATATGTAGTGGGTTAGTGGCTAAAATTAGAGTTAGACTGAAAGGCTCCAAATCTGCCATCGATAATTTTCTTGTCATGAGTTGACCGTAATGTTGTTGTGTGTGTACCCGTTTGCCCGTTTGTCTTCATGTCCATCAGACTGCAGGTCTTCCCAGTGCTTACATAACTGCAGTGCTTTGGCTCCACTAATCTGGGATGTATTTCAGGGGATTTAATTCAGTCAGTGGATGCAATCTCTCGCGCAGACCCGCTGATCAGTTCTGTGGACTGGGAGAAGTCTTGCAGAGAAACGCTACCTCTTAATCTCCATGATCAGCTGTGTGTCGACTAGTTTGACGATTTATCTTTCTTTCTCTCTTTTTTTTATTGCTTACTATAGATTGACTCTGTCCGTTAAATGATTGGTTGCTATTTCAGTTCTTTAATCCTCTTTTCATTCTCTGACTTTTAAATCATTTGTCGAGTCATTTAATCATTCATGCACAGCTCCTGAATGCTTACAGTTGCTTTCAAGGTCATTATTTATATATGCCGCCATTATGCATTGATACTTTTCATGACTGGGAGGGTGAGGGTGCGGGGTTGCTTGTCACATTTGCATCTTTCATATTGCAGTCATCTATTCCTGCATCTGTTGGCCCCAATCAACACATGGCAACTCACATCCTCGTTTTCACAGTTACACAGTGTTATTCATGTGTCGTCATGTGCTCAATTATTCATACACACAATCCACTTGCTTGCCCTCCCTCTACCACTCTCCTCCCTCTGTTTTTCCTCTGTATGTCTCTCGCTCTCCTTCGCTCGTGTAAATCATGAATGTGAAAAGACACCGAGGCATGTCTGCACCTCAGTTTGGGAGGAGATTTTAGTTTCATCTCTATAGTATATACATTTTTATTCCTTATGCTTTTGATTTTCTGTTTTATTCATTTCAGCATATCATATGCCTTGGTGAGCTGAATCCCTAAACTTGGCAGTGTTGATCTCCACCCACTGATTTTCGCAAGGCCTCAAATTGTTTTTCTATCGTCTCCTTTGTCTTTCATGTGTTCCCTCTATTTTGTCTTCAACTCCTTGTTGCTAAATTTCCTCTTCACTTCTTACCTCCTCCTTTGCCATTGTGGTTTTAGTTACAACGGCTGGTTGGTTGTAATTGGCACAGTAAATGTGAAGTAGTTCAGACTAAATTTGCATACTTTTTTGCATCCTTAACTATCTTTTAAGTTTTGCCTATATGAACAAGTTTTCCTGCTCATTACGTCCCACCCCTCTTAGGGCAATTAGGAGAGCCTGAAATTAAAAATACTAAGTCTACTTTGTCCAGTACACTTTTGAAGGAATAGTTAGACATGATGAGAAGTTATGTAAAGTAAATATTAAACTAGAGGCGTACGTAAAACAAAGAAAGTGGTGTGGACCTTGCCTACAGTATTTTTCCAGCCAATCAGCAACAGTTAATGCTCGTGCACAGGAGCAGGGGGAGAGAGAGTTCTATACACCAGTACATTCGAACGTGCTGGGCTCCAGGCACTGTGGAAGGAAAGAAGGAGAGATAGCCGATAAACAGAAAAAAAGGGAAAAGGTCTGAAGAGTATAAACAGAGAATAAAGTTATATGACCAGGCAATGGTAAAGACGTTTCAATGCTGGGGAAACCTCAGAAGTTTGCAATTTAGGGGGTGGAGCTTCTGAGAGAGTACTAAAGGGAGGTGTGAGTTTGTTTGGCAGTTGAGTTCAAATATCAACAATCTTTTTGCAGACTCACTTACTCTCCCTTTAATTAGTGATCTTTAGAGGTGCTGGTAGGCGTTACTTTTGGACAGAGCCAGGCTACCTCTTTCTCTCTGTTTTGAGTCTTTGTGCTAAGCTAAGCTAACCATCTGCTGCAGCTTTATATTTAGCATACAGCCATGAAAGTGGTATCAATCTTTTCATCAAACTCTCAATAAACGAGCATGTTTCGCAAGATGTCACCCTATCCCTTTTAAAAGATTTGTATACAGTATCTGCCGGAGAGTTTAAACTCGTAAATAACTCTGATGCATGTTTAATACCTCGTGCAGTGATCTGCTTCTATGTGTTGTGTGTGTTATTTGTTGATCAGAACATCAGAATTTGGCCCAAATTAAACCACTATCCAAAAAATGTAGTCAAAAAAGATGGAATTTGTGGTAACAAATGGTATGTGTAATTGTTGCAGATATATATATGTGAGATATTTTCCTCTGACTTCCTCCAGGGCCTCCTGATAAGCTTCCCCAGCCCACCAAGCCTTTGCCGACGGTGCCCCCTCCCCGCTCCCATCCTCCTTCAGACCCCCGCAAGCCAGACAGGCAGACGCGACCTCCGAGGCTACCCCCAGGAGACAGACCATCCCACCCCAACGCTAAACCCAACATCTGTGACGGAGGCTTCAACACCCTCGCCATACTGAGGAGAGAGATGTTTGTCTTCAAGGTAAGTGAAGAGTCTGTGATATCAAAACAACCTGGGGCATTTTCACATTCTGTTTGTTTTGGGGAGTCATTTTGAACCCTGGAGCTGTTTTACCCCAAACTTGGATCTCAAGGCGGTGTGTGAGAGCACAGCAGTCAGTCTTTGCAGGCCACACAAACTTGTGAGACCTTGTTGGAAGTGTAGTTTCATACAATGTTTGCACACCAACAATATATACCTGAGGATCGTCTTGTCCTACGTGAGATTTATGGCTATAACCTATAACTTAATCAGCTGATACGTGCAACAAGGGAACTCATCCCTTGATTCAGACCAATGGAAATGGCCTGCAGTTTGAAAACGTGCAAGAGAGCTTCGAGGATTACTTAAATGTACAGAGGATGGGAGCTTTATTGCTAATCTGCTTCATGTTCAGTATGTGCATGAAATGTGGAAATGGCCCACTTGGATGTAATATAAATTATTTGGGTGAGTTAGTTTTTTTTGTTTTCTACACATTGGTGGAAAAGTTGTCTTGAGAGAAAAGTTTAACACTGTGGTCATAGCTTGTAGAAATGTGGAGCAGTGCTCCATTACATATTTTCAAACTAGCACCTGTGTATTTTGTATTTTGATGCATAATTAAAGGAGCTATTAGGTCTAACAGGAGCTCTTTCCAGGTTACATGGGGCCAGTTGAGCAGGAGTTTGGACAAAATGGATATTTCACTAAGAAGAAGCACCATGCCACGCACAGTGCAGCACAGTTTTCATTTCTTCCAACAAACTCTGCCTGGTTTTCATTCCCATGCAAGAGAAAAAAGGACACATGTCCCTTAATGCATCTTTATCCTTGGTCTAAGCTTGTGAGCACAAGACCTTGGCAACACTCAGCAAGGAACTGTGAAAAACCTTGGGGCAGCACAAAGCTTCCCTGTGTTCACCACAGAAAGGAGAAAGAGAGCCTCTGATGCTTTATGTGAGTGTGACTGTATTTTTCTGGAGATATAAATAGATAGTATTCACTGGTTAAATAAGAGGCTTGTGGAGCCAGGGGGGAAACCCTTTCTGTCCTCTCTACTTGCATAAATAAATCTGGCTCGGTCCCGAGCTACTACCTGTGAAGGTATTTAACCAAAATTAGACTCACACTGTTTTTTGGGTGGAAATGTTATCTGATTGTTACTGTAGTGTAAATACAGCCCCGGCTCTCTTTCACTTGGTGTCTGCAGTAGCTCCTGTCACCCTTCATTACTCCCAGGGCTGCAGCCTGGTCTGATGGAGTGATGAGGATCATGGGGTTTTGGCAGTGCCCGGAGGTCCTGTGGAGACAAAAAGGATGTTCAGGAACCAGCCAGCCTTTTTTATGAGTTTAGGAAGTGAAGGATACAAGGACAGTGAGCTCTAAAACACCTCAGGTGTGTCTGTGGGTTTGAAATAAAATTTGGGTACATTGGTGCACCAACAAATTGTGTTGGCACTACTTAACACTTTCTGTAATCATTTTTGTAATTTCTAGTTTTATTTGTCATAGCTAATCAAACCTCAATTTGATGTTGTTTACTTCTAGCCTGTTTTTATTGCCTAAAATCAATACATTTTACAGAGGCAGTGCAACAACCATCAGCTGAGAGACAGATAATTGTCTCTTCAGAAGGGTTATTTTCAAGGATTCTGATCTGATCACTGTACTCATGTTAGGATTCTTGGAAATGTACTTCAGATAAATTTTGTTTTGGTGCCATCGTCATATAGTGAATGTAAAACCTGAAATGTATGATTCAGCTGTTCATGACAATCCCCAAGCATACCAAGTGCCGTGTCCTACTAGCATGTATGATTTGACTTTGTTTTTTTTTATAGCTTTTTATTTGCATTTTTGGTTTTATTTCAATAGTTGTAGAGATATACAGGAAATGTGGGGGGAGAAAGAGAGAGAGAGAGAGCGCGCTATGACTCAAAACAAAAACAAAGATTTAGTTGTATTATGCGCTTTAACCATTATGTTTGTCTGATGCACTTAAAATTAATATCTTCTATAACACCAGAGTTGTTGAGATGTGATGTTTTTTGGCCAGAGAGATCCTTTTAGCAGCTGAGTGTGAAAGTGAAGGCGAACATTTTGCTTTGCTGGACAATCGGAGAAAACAAAGTGAAAGTTTTTAGGTGAAAGTTTTTATGTATGAATTTCCCTATAACTTGAGGTTAGTTTATAGTAAAAACAGCCACAGTTCTTAGTCTTGTGTGCAAAATGAGTCTGTAAGCACTCTTTAAAGGCCGATCCACAGGGGCCACTCATGTAAAATGGTGTTCAGCATAAATTGCGTGGCTCCCTCTTCTTGTTTAAACTCTCCACTTATTCCCGCCGGCCTTTGTTACAGCCATACTGTAAATTAAATGTGTGCAATTAACCCCTAAGCAAACATATGGCAGTATGCATCTTCAGTAGAGCAGTATTATATGTACTGCATTCCAAATGGAACTTGGAAAACAACCAACATGCAAAGGATATAACCAGACATGTCTATAATCCAAATATTAAATCAGATTGTAGAATTTTGTAGTGTGAGTACCAGTAATTGCTTGGCTTAAGTGCAGGGACGTGCACAGGGGGGTTGCTCTGGTTGCCCGGGCAACTGCCCGTTTGCCTTTCCTGACTCAAGTTGCCCTTCCGACTCGCCCTTCCGAGAAAAAAAAATAAAATAAAAAAATAATCGCGATCGCAAAGCCTCATTCACTTCCATTCGGGCACCGAAAGTGAAAGTCAGTAGGGGAAGGGCAAACTCTGTTTAAGTGGCTGCACTGCTGCAGCGCTGCCTGCACGTCAGTCGATTCTGTTCCCTACCGGAATTCCTGTTTCCTTCCTTTATGCAATCATACTACAACAAATCATGCGTAGTTTTGCCCAGTTACCATACGTGATACGTACCAACAGAAGTGAATACGAGCTAGAAGCACAACTGAATGTACGGGAAGCCAAAAGGTTAAAAAAGGATTGTATTTTTTTCCGAAATCTAAGCGTTTTTTTATTTAATATTTTATTAGAAGCGAGTTTTCCCCATCTGTCAATTCAATCTAGATTATTTATTTTCAAATAAAAAAAAAGGAAAAAAAATAAAAAATAATAATGATTAAAAAAACAATAAACAATAATATAAGGAACTCTTTTTCTCATATGTATTTTGGTGACATTTATATTGTTAATACATTTTGGATACTGTGTTTAGTGCCTTTTTTCAGGTCAGAGCAACTGCCCTTCAAAATTCCTGTGCACGTCCCTGCTTAAGTGGGCATCACCACCGTGAGGAGGGCTTTTGGCTCCATCATTTTAAAGGCTGTGATGAACGTTTCTCTCTGTTGGCTACCAGCTCACATTTTTCCAAAGGTACAGAGGAGCGGAGGGGAAAGACTGACAGACGGAGATGATTTGTTACACAACACATGTAAGCGCACTTGTAAATCCACTGCATTCACATCATTAGGACCACCAGAAACATTGTGACTCATGGTGATTTGCTCACCCTCTTGCGTGAGCCACATCTCAGCCAGTGAATCAGATGTGTTTAGGGGAGTGAAATCAATAAGGGATCACAGGTTTGACTTGGATTCGCTCTCTAAGTGCGTTTCACAGGAGGAGCAGGTGGTCCTAATATTTCTTGATTCTCAGTGAGCATTGTGCCAATTTTCTCCAAGAAGACTGAGGTATATGTTAAGGCTTTCTTTTCTCCTGGTACAGTTGATCTGGAAACATAGTTAGAGATGTTTGTGTTACTCCTGAGCTTGATATATTCCTTTTAGAGCATGCCAAGGTCTACGCATTAGACTAAGGACTGGTTTAAATGATGTCAGATTGATTTACAGCTTGTGCTAACTACTTATTTCAGTTTTATGTGAGTTTTTGTCTCTTGTTACTGTCATTTGATTTCTAATTTATTTATTTATTTTATGATTATTCGAGTGATTGTCTGCTTGGTTACTTCACGCTGTACGCCCATTTGGCCTGCACTGCTTGGCTATACTCACCGTTCCCACTTGATTGTTTTGGAAGAGCAGTGTCAAGTCGATGCCAAGTCATTATAGCAGAGATCTCAGCAGTCTTACAGTCCCCCAGGTCCACAGGTGGTTCAGCAATGTAAAGTAGGGGGCTTTAGAGAAGAGACCACAAGAGTTTATCTGGTGAAATACACAGGGAGCACTGAGGTTTTCTATGAAGCAAAAGCAGCAATTATTGTGTTGAAACGTGTTACTCTTTGACTAAAAGTTACCATGTGTTTTTTGTCAGCATCTTAGGTCACCAAAAGAGTAAATTAGGCAAAACAGAGAGAGTATCATGTTCAATTACACTTGTGCGTTTACAGAAGAGGCCTCATTTATGACCCCACTACTAAATGCCAACTTCTTTCAATTTGTAAAGCTGGCTTTCTGTAAAAGAAAAAATTTTTTTAAAGTTTCAAGCATCTTCAGGGTTAATATTCCTAACTTAGGAAAGCTGCTTTAAGAGCCACAGAAGACATTATACAACTATTTCTTTTACAAGCTAAGTAATAATCCTTGTAACTTGTAAAATGATCTTAACATGTAAAATCAGCGCCGTGCCACTTTAACTTAAGTGATAATGTTACAGTTACCAATAAAGGGGGACAAAGCTTAATGGTTTTGCCGTTATACCTTCCACATTTTGGACTGCAGTTGAATAAGCAAGCCTGAATGACAAATGATAGTTGTCTTTCAAATTACTTCTATCAAGAAAGACCATCAAACTTTAACTACACGCTAAAGGATCTATGCTTTCTTAATGGAAGTACTGCAACTACTGCAGATGTACAGTAGATGTAATAAGGTAAAATGCAGAAAACATGTTGGTTCTTGAGTCTTTAACTGAGTAGTGTTGCCAATGGTGCTGAGAAGTGCCTGACCTTTTTGAGGCACGTTAATCTACAAAGGCAGGTTAGGAGTCATGCTTGTTAAGGTGGTAGTTTTACGGCCGATCATTTTTCACTCCAATGGGGCGACAAGGGGTCG